TTTCCGAAAAAATGTCTCAAGTTAGAATTTTTTAATTGGTATATGTCCAGCAAATTGCCTTAGTTTGATCGAGTGTGTGGCCTAATCGTGTAAGCGAGGCGCGGCGCGTGGCGTTTTCTGAAGGTTTTCAGTTGAAACAAGTAATATAAATCAACAAACATTAGTGTACAAAACGAAAATAAAACGTTTTTTAAAATATGATTCCAATGCACCACATGAAATTTTTTAGGCTAATTGATTTTTTAATTTGTTTGGACAATTACTAGTGATGGGATAACTCGAGCGAAAATTCGCTCGAGTACTCGATTATTGAAATAATCGACAATGCTCGATTATGAACGAGCAATGCAAGTTACGAGTACCAAGCGACGAACGCAAGCGATCTTAGAATGAAATAAATTGAAATCCGATTTTAATGTGACATACTCGATAAAAAGCCGAGCGAATTTTCTACATACATTGAAGGTAGCAAATTTATACGACTCCGTATATACCGGGTGCGTCTCAAAAGTGGCTCACCCCTCTAACTTTTTTATTTTTTAGATAAAAAAATGAGATTTGGTATTTTAGTATATTACATAAATTAGGATCGATTGACGTATTCAATTGTTTTCTGTCACTTTCTGTTTCACCGGAAATGACTACAATTTTTGATTTTTAAATGGCATCCTCGGTATTTTTTTTTACTTTATTCGATAGAAAATGACATTCTAAATAGAATGAGTATCATATGTCAACTTTTGACATATTCGCTCATAAACAAGTTGAATTTTAAATCTCAATCTAGAGTGCCATGTCTGTGTTAAAAACACTAATTTTTAATCAAGGAGTCTTGGAAAAATAAATTTGATCGTCTAATGTTTTTAGTGTCTTGTCCTGGCCGGCCGGTTAAAAGATGCCCAAATCGTATTTTTGATCATATCTCAATTTTGTTTCAAATGGAACGAGGGTAGCTCATTAGCATATTTCGAAAAGGAATTTTTTTACGAATAATTTGATACCATAAACTTGGTACTTCGAGTCAAATTGTCGTTATGAACCGCATGTTACAATTTCAAATAAACCATATGCGAAAATGTCAAAAGTTGACATGTGATATGTCATTCTTTCAGAGTGTTATTTTCTACGGAATAAAGTAAAAAAATACCGAGGGTGCCATTTAAAAATCATAAGCTGTAGTCATTTCCGGGGAAACCGGAAGTGATCGAAAACAATTGAATATGTCAATCAATCCTAATTTATGTCATATACTAACATACCAAATTTCGTTGTTTCATCTGAAAAAATAAAAAAGTTATAGGGGTGAGCCACTTTCGAGATCCACCAGGTATATTTATCCGTTGCGTATCTGAAGGCTCATTTACATTTGTCACTTTGGATGTACAACTTGGATGAATCATCCAAAGTGATAAGTATAAATTGCCTTTCATCACTGTTTCATCCATAGTGTACACTAAAATTGAACGATGAAACAAGTTGACGGTCTTCCTACTTATGTTGAAAGAAGCGTTCAACGAACGTTGATTCATCCAGATTGAACGGCAAGTGAAAAATGTAAACAGCCGACGCCGACCCGTGCGGCCAACCTCGATATAGAAAACACTGGGAGAGGTGGCAGCCTGCGGAAGATGAAACAGTGAACTGCTGCGAACTGGATAAAAATATATAAACAAGGATGTTCAATTTGGATGAATTCAATCTGAGTGATTCATTTTGGTTGTACATCCAAAGTGACACAGTGTAAACTCTGCTTGAGGGACACAATTTTACGACCTACATCGACAATGCTTCGAAATAAACTAAATCAAGCGATCAAGCGAATAGCTCGCTGCTTACTACTTGCCGTTCATTACCGAAAGAATATGTGCCCTGCGCACACAACTTACTGCTTGGCGCTTGGCGTTAACGAGTACTTACAACATGCGACGGGTGAAAACCGTATTTTTAAATACGAGTGATATATCGCTCGAGTGATCACTCGGTTATTGCAACCGCTTGATACTCGAGTACTCGATTATTGAAATTAATCGCTTTTTCCCATCACTAGAAATTACTATTTATAAAATAATTCTCAGATCAACGATAATATTTCGGGCTTAGCTTATTTTCAGTAGTACAGAAATAACTATATACTTCTATTATTTTAATAACTCTTATATTTTTAAATTATACGTTATGTCTGTCTCTGCTATGAGGAACGTAATGCTGTATGTCCATATAAGAGTGAACTGAACTAATATATCATCAACCTGCCATTTTTTCGATATCAAATATTAACGTCGATATCCCATATTGATTTTGTAATTTGAAGTCGAATGTAAGTAATAATAAATAACATCAACTATACATTTAAAATGTGTTTTGTAGAAAATAATCAATCAAAAATTTAATTATACACCTAAAAACACGAAAATATATAAGAGTAGTTAGTAGTTAGAATGTAGAATGTATGGGGGGGGGGTTAATCACCGCAACCTTACAGATCTATTGAGCGTTCCCCTTTCTTGAGTTATAACGGGTTATAACTCATCATACAGTCTCAGGGCTATGACAAAAGCCAGTATCTAAGACGGCTCCACAGAGGCTAGCTCTCCATCTTCCACATCAGCCGTACCAAAGTTTATGGTACGAATGATCATCGTCTCGGCGCAATCAGTGATGTGTTCTGGTGTTTCTCCATTTTCCCCACAGAATCTGCATTCGCCGTTGTTTCTTAGCTTCAATCTAGGAAGTGTTCATTGAGGAGACAGTGTCCTGTTAAAAACACTGTGACAATCCGAAGATTATTCTTGCTTAAATGACTGAAACTCTTTGATTTTTCTAGGTCGTAAGTTCTGAGAAATGTCTTCGAGTGTCTTAGTCCGTTCGAGGATTCTAATTCCATGGTTCTTGAGTTCCGCTTTAAGTTGGTTTACACATGTTTTCTCTTGTTAGTAGCTAGCATAACATGCATAAATATACCCAGTAGGCATTTTATTCCTTTAAGGGAAATGTGTTCTTGGATACGTTACCAGGCCCTTCTTGTGCCTGATATGAAGCAATTAAATGCAGATAACTGTTCCCTAATGTTCCCTAAATGTGACAAAACTTTGCTCACTGGACCGCCTGGAAAAGGGTACTATCATGGATACCGCAACTGGTGCTTTATGAAACATTTTGTAAATGCATACTAGATTTTTAAAGAATACACTTAGAAATACACTTTTTTTGTCGATTTTGCTCTATATATTTTTCACCCTGTTGGGTCTTTAAAATTGTTATTGAAAAAGCTCTAACAAAGTGTAACATATAATACATATATCAAAAATGAATCTTCACATTTTTCTTCTTATTGCGGTGCCGTGCCTGTCTTCAGGCGTTGGCTATGACTGTGTATAATAAATAGTTGAAATATTAAAAAATCATAAATATATTTTCCAAAAATATAGTATAAATAAAGTGGTACCTAGTATTTTTTTACAATATTTTATGAAATGTCATAAAATTTCTGTATTTAATGGCTTAATAAAAATAAGCATAAAATGCAGAATAATTACTGTATTACATTTTTTTAAACAACAAATTGATATGTATATTTGTTGTTTTGATGTTAAAATATAAATACGCGTCGTTATATCCCTTTTTCGACTTAATGAGATGTAATGTAGTTTGGTTTCTGTATTTGATGGCATGTATGATTCGAAAAAGAACTTATTCGAAAACACCAAACAAACAAAAAAATAAACATTTTGGATTAAAAAATACATTAATATCTAATTAAGGCATACATAATAATTATAATCTCTTTACCTTTGACCTTCAATACATTTTCGAGTATATTCCATATAACATACGACAGAAAATGATCATTTATATCCTATTTGTGTAATATCAACGGTAATATTCTGTGTTTAAGGTTGGTAAAATTTTGACGTCATTATATCCTTGTATACCGAACGGCTCTAGTATTATTATATAGCAAGCTGTACCTTGCTACTCCCAAGGCATTAAACGCTATATACGGGAGCTATTATTATTATAAATTTTGACGTCAGATTGATAAATACCTATATTACTATTTATATCAAAATGTAAATTAAGGAATAAATAAATTTGGTTTTGTACTTTTCTTCCCTATATATTTTTTTATTTTATTGACAAATAAAGTATTACAAGCATTCCGTTTTAACAAAAGGATAAATAGAACATTTTTAACCAGGTCATTTTACCAAAAAAGATGTGAATTTTTTTGGCGTCAAGATAGATGGCCAATGATGACTGGATAACCAAAACAATTACTAATATCAATTGGTAATATAATATTTATTTGTTTCTATATCAATAATTAAAGCTACAGATGCCCGACGCACTATTGCCGGGCCCTGTATAATGTTAATAAACTGGGTAGTTAGTTATCAATTACACAGGTATATGGTAGCATATATATATATAGGTTACAATATCTTCTACAGAGAAATGTTCTTGTTTATATTCTTGATTTATTACTTCTAATATGGAAAGTTACTTTTTACATTACTGGAAATAAATGACACTCTAGTGAATTATTGTAACAAACTGTATTTATATGGTATTAAGATTACTATTAGTGATAACCCATATTATTAAACTTTTTGTAAATATGCAGATGAATAATTACAGTAATTGACGGAAAAAATAAATAGGTCAACAAAAAATAGAATAATTAATCTAAATAATTCTGCTTTGAAAGTAATTAACTTTTTTTTCAAAGGTACTATGACGCTGTACGTATCGTATTTTCGATCATATTATGGTATTTTCTACCGAAAACTCACTATTGACATTGCTAATTAATATTATACATATATTCCAATTCTGCTCTATAGGGAAATTACAATAACTTTGGTTGCACATCATAATACGACCACCAGCAAACTCCATAAGACGACGCATGGTGACATTGATGGCGTGCACCCAAAGTCGTTTTAATTTCCCTATATATGTATAATTCAATAACTTAGTCATCAGGTATTTTGTTTTAGGTGCAAAGTATACATGAAGAAATTCGCAATATCATCTAGACCCAATGAAAATTACATAAATCAGACTCGCATGAGCACCCCACCTGGGTCACCCCCCGCCCCGGTGCCTGGGGTCAACGTCTATTTGGGAGGGTGAGTAAAATGGTTTCTACATAAGAAAATATTTGATTAACCAATATCTATAATCTATATTGATGACCGAGACTGGTCTTGGTCATGCGGTTCTGGTCTTGGTCTTGTACCAAAATAGAATACAAAGACTAGCGTTTGTCATACAAACATTGTTCCTTTCTTTTAAATTTCATTTGAATTTATTATTTGCTTTTTAAATTTTATTTGCATTAAAAAGACATGTATAAAAACACGGGCAAGCACAAAATTAAGTTTAAAATTCATCAAAGAACTTCGATATGCTGATGACTGCGTTGACTCTATTTGCAAAAACGTTACAGCAATTACAAGAAATGCTGAACACATATATCTGGGCATACGAGGCTTTAGGCCTTAAGCTAGGGTTGCCAACTTTCAAAATAAAAAATAGAGGACGAGAGAGTAAAAACTATTTTTTAAAAAAAAAAGGCTAAACATTTTTTTTTCGGAAAAGGCCAATATCGACTCTGAGACTCAGCACAGAATTAGCAGCGCCTCAAGAGCATTCTGGAAATTAAAAGACAGGGTTTTCTCCAATCATGTCTTAAACTTATAAACGAAACTAGCAGTGTACCGAACAATAATTCGTACCATGTTATATGGAAGCGAAACCTGGGTGCCGTACCGCCGGCACACGAAGGCATTAAACAAGCTGCAACAGAGACACCTTAGATAATTTTTAAGAATCAAATGGTACCACCATGTCTCAAACGTATCAGTCGTTGAAAAAGTTAGCTGCAAGAGCGCTGAAGTCATGATTACTAAATCCCGTTTAAGATGAGCTGGCTACGTATGCAGGATGCAAGAAAACCGCCTACGGAAATATCTTCTTTATGGTGAGCTTGTAGACGGTAAGAAGAAACCGGGTGGACAAATCAAAGGGTACAAGGATATTTTCCATGAAAACTTAAAGGGGATAACCCATGTAGAATCAGTGGGAGGAAGCGGCGCATAATAGAACTCAATGGAGAAGAATTGTAAACTCAGTTAACAACGAAAACCAAAAAGTAAAGAGGCAAGTAATAAGATTTTTTAATGTTCGAGTGCGGAAGACAGATAACATCACGTTTCAGTTACAGAAAAGCTCATGAAAGAAAACGCCTTGCGTCTGATGTGTGTCAAATACTCGTCAGCCAGTAATGACAGTAAGTATGTCAGTAAGTAAAATGCTAGTTATTTGAATATTTTCTGTGTAGAAAGTATCTCTAGTAAAAATCTATTAAGTGCAAAAAGACATGCAAAAATGTAACAGCAAGACCAAAACTGGACCCTGCAATACCAAGATTAAGACAAAGACTAGACTTGGATTATTAATGATGAGCAAAGTTCATTCTTCAGTTGAAACGATAATAACCATGTCTGGACTGAACACTGTTTATTTGGTATTAAGCTAGTTACCTTTGCGTTTGTTTTTGATTATCCGCGTTTCAGCTAACCTATTCTCGTACACATGTCAACGGTCAAAGCACAAGTCTAAATTGTTTTTTAAACGAAGACTCAATACAGCTCAGAAGCCAACATAAAAAGGCGCGTATTCATGTGAGCATGAACGCGAACGAGGCAAGGCGAGCATACGAATGTGGACGGGTTTCCGAGGAGCGGCAAACTGCCTCGGTTAGATCCGAGGCTGTTCGGCTGCCATCCGTAGAGAATTGGTACATCAAATGGAACTTGAGTACCATTCGGTTCGTTGTGGACGGCGATTTTGTATTATTGCCTCGCGCTTCCGTTTAAATCTTTAATTCGTTAAATTTGTTTTGGTTCATGTGTTTTTGTCATAATAAACTTGTGCAGTATGAACTGGAGTAATGAAAAAACGTCAATTTTAATTAAATATTATTAAAAGCGACCCATTTTATGGAAAAAAGATCATGAAATTTACTATAATGTTATAAAAAAGAGGATGCCTGGGGCGAAATTGCAGATGTTTTGGAAGAAAAGGTTGACATATTAAAGAAACTTTCAAATCATCACCTGCAATGTTTCTTTATCTGCCGACAGTGCCGCACGCCGCACGGCTGTGGATCGGTGCCTCGTTCGCTATCCCGCCTGATTTCAATTTGAGGTTTTCAAAGTTCAAACGAGGCATTCGTTCTGCCTCGCCTTGCCTCGTTCGCGTTCGTGCTCAGATGGATACGCGCCTTAAGGTAAAAGAATATTGAGGATGGTGCGCATATTTCCACGTGAATGATCGTCGATAAACTAGTTATCGATAGATAAGATGTGGTCTGGACGCTTGTTTAGCACTGCCAATTTATACTACTACTACTAACATCCAATTTACAACTAGTCTGCCGACTTATAATAATTCCACGTATAAGAGATACCAATTAAACTTCAGGATTCTGGTGGTAGAGCTCTGCTGTAAAAAATATCAAGTTGCCACATTTATTTATTTATTTGCTGACATTGTCATTCGTTTTGACACTTTAGTTTTGTATTACGAGTTTTTGGTTTAAATGAATGGTGTTGTGATACTTTAAGCTTAAAAATTTTAACTAGCAGACCTTGCAGTCGAACATTGTTCTTTTTAGAACCTCTTTTAGTGCGAAGTATACAAGAAAGCTTAATAGCCGTTGCAAAAAAAACTCATCGCAACCTTATTAGAATATTTTGAACCGGAAAGCGGTAGTAATTGCCCTATATGCCCCTTAAGTGCTATTAAGCAGATGAGATTTTTGATGTAAATAATAACTGTTTATATATTTATAATTAATTTATTTTTGTTTCCTAAAATATTTTGATTAAAAGAAAATATGTAGAAGTGGGCAACGCTGTGCCGGTCCAGCTTAATCACGTGACTAAAAGTTTATTTGGTATGATCTATACCTACTTAGATTATGCTACAAGTCGAGTTCTGATTCTGGTTCTGAGTTCCATTGAAGCATTGTTTAAAAATCGAAGACTGACGCTCTGAGTACAAGAAAGTGTACGAAGATAGATGCATTTGAAACGAATATTGGACTTAAGGACAAATTATTGGAAGAAACAAACATTTTAAAAAGATGTCTTTATAAATACCAAAATGATGATAATGGCAAATCATTAGTTTTACTCTAGCCATGTATTTTTTGTTACAGGTTTATGCTTGGTGGAATAATTTTAGCCATATTCGTTTTGTGCTACTGTTGTCATAAAACGAATAGAAAATCAAGTCCAAGTTTGTCGTCGATGATCTGGAGAGAGCCGGGACTATCATTGCAAATTTATACAGTAGAAGCTGCACAAAACGTAAGTTAATAAATACTTAAACATAAATAAAATACTGTAGTAGTGAGTGACTAATATGTGTATACAATGTGATCAAAAAGTTTGGTTATCAAGCCAGCACCATACCAAGTGATTGTATTAACATTTCCCTTTCCTGACTAACGCAATATCATATATAGTTAACTACTGAACAGTACAGTTGGGGTTGAAATCTCTGGTGCTACAACAGCGATATAAAAAACCAATTCACACCCTACAATATATTCAAACATTGTTACCAAAGTGCGCGTCAAGTCTAAAAAGTAATGTATTTTGTTGTATTGTGGAAAATCCCTGTTTCATTTTCCTACTGAGCAGTCTAAAAATATAGATAATAATATAAAAATGTGTTAAGAAATAAAATATTAAAGATTTAAGAGAAAAAATTCTTAAATACTAGTGAGGATGCAGTCAAAGTTCACCAATTGGGCTAATATATCTAATTTTCAATTTGTCAAGTTTTCGAGAAATTTATTCCCTTTATCAGGACAATTCTAAAAATATATATAATATTTTTTTTTGAAATTGTATAAAAACAAACTTACCATGGTTAATTAACAAAACAACATCGTTTGCACAATAAGGCCTTACAAACTAGTGTCATTGGTCATTGGGAACACAAGAATATTTAAAAAATACATGTAATTGTGATAATTTACATAGTATTTATTATTTGAAATAAAACTACTTAGTTGAGTGTTCAAAATTACACTAACTTTTATTCTTCGTATTAATATAAAGCTCGATATAAAGTTCATAAAATAGCATGATGTAAAATAAACTAAGTATTGAACATACCACATTCGTATAAATATACGTTATTTACATTATTTACATTTTTTTTAAATTTATCAAACTACTAAAATATTTGAATATCTAAATCAAATAATAGAAATGTCATACATTTATTACAATAATATACATCGAAATAAACTTTTTATATAAAAGTTCTTAAAAATAGTAGCGAGCTGACCCAAACAGTAACTGTTCGATGTAATACCAAATTGAAAAAAATATTTAGAACTTTCCTTGTCAAAAGATTTTTTATGTTGATATTTACTCCTTCCATTCTATTTTTAAACAACAATGTATTTTTTTTTGTTTGCGGCCGTGGATGTTTGTTGTTTAAAAATACAATGCAAGAAGTAAATGCCAACATAAAAAATGTGTTATATTGATTGTAGTGTTGGCTAATATTTAAGACACAAGGTATCGCTAATGACTGCACTGATTATGTCTTGTTCAACTTCATTCTTCAGAACCTAGTAATTAGTGGAATAAATTAGTGTTCTCAATTACACTTTATACTTTTTAGTGTATAATGATTCACAATGTCTAAAAAACACAATTAAGATTAATAGAATATCTTAGCAACGGCTTGCGGTAATCAGTTGTATCCATAGAGAAAGCCTAACATTTAGCTAATAAAACAAAACACTTTTGATTTATAACCATATTTTTTCTTGCCGGATGAAAATTAAAGTCCAAACTGGCATTCCTCGCCGATTTTGAACTATAATTAGTGGAAAAGTTAAAAGTTTGTTACTTTTTTCACTAATTGAAAATTTCTACCACTAATTTAGACGTTCTGTATGCATACATTGAAATTAGAGGAACAAACTTGTACGTTAATTGAAACCACTAATTTATTCCACTAATTGCGAGGTTCTGAATGAAGCTTTCTGTCTTAAATTTGTTACTTTAGAAAAAAAAAACTGTAGCCAATAGTTTGTTGGGGACTAAATTCAATATTCGAACGAATTACGACAATTTGTGGGAATATTTCGATTTCCTAATTCATTTTTCAAACGGGGTCGCTCGTTTTATAGTTTTCTTTCTCGGCTTTTACAGGCCATCAATTTTATTCTCGTTTTGCAAAACACGGAAAGTATTCTCGGGCGGATTAAAAATAAGTATTCGGCGCGCTAGGACGGGAGTCTGTTTGTGTGAGTGTGTGTATGTTTCCTGAAACGGCCCGGATAGAGTACCGGAGGCAAAAAACCTCTTACGATATCGATACGACGCCGTATATTTTTAGGCAACAGAACGAAACGGACGACTTGAAATTGTGACTTTGTTGTTATTGTTCGCCGAATAATACACAGCCAAATATAGGAATTTCAGTTAATGGGCACGTTCCTGGTAGTGATGTGTCGGAGTAACGCGATTTTAGAGCGGTATTTTTAACATTGGAAATGTTTATGTTCGTATATGAGGGCCGAATTTCGAGTTTTCTTTCAAGGTCGTCAGCAACCAAACCGCACAGTCGACCAAATTAAAGCATCAAAACTTTGGCGCGTGTGCCTAATTTAGGTGAACTGGTCTGAAAGCACGAAACTCTCGGCGATATACGAGGTTTAATTTTGTTAGTCCTGACGATATTACTTGACGACTATGCTACGGGGGGCGATTATAAAATTGAATAGATTGATATTGATATTTGCAAACGTTACAAAACAGTACTATTTTCGTAATTTTTGATTTGGGTTTTGACAATTATTATTTATGATGTTTGTAATGAAACGATATTTTTATTTAGGTATTGATATATTTTAGAAAGGATTTAAGGATTAAAAGATATAATATATTTACTTAATTTCAAAGTATCTGCATGAAAAATCACGGCTATTTTTATAAGGTGTTATAAAATAGATTATGAATATTTAAACATTTAAACTAACCTAAAATAAAACAAAATAATGTTGAACTACCCTCTATTAATTGTTTTTTTAATCATGTTTATTTTTTCTTCTAATCATTATTAGTTATTATTATTATGAATGGTGTTTTTTATATCAAGTTTAGCTGCAAATATATAACGTTAATTATGTTTTATATGTGGTGTTATCATTTCCACTGTCTTTGATGGTTGCAGCGATTGCGAAATCTGTGAGTTTTTTGTAACGTCGTGTCGCGTTCCACAACGAATTAGGAACCTGTTACTGAAGAACGACGGTCATAATAAAAACAAATATTATTATATAATTATAATTTGCAAATAAATAATTTATAATCGCTCTTGGAGTTAGCTCGAACCGCAACCGCATAGCGCCGTTTATCGCTCCAGCCCTCGCGTTCCTAGGGTCGCGATTTCGTCGGCGTCGCGTCGCGCGTCGGTCGCCAATAATAGTAGTAACTGGAACTGGTAAGTACGTAACTCGACCGCTTCGTCTGCCGCGAAGAGATGTACGGTAACGGTAACCTAATATCGCGACATACTTCGCTCCAGTGCTAGAGGTCGTGCGACTTCTGGAGCGCTCGTATAGGATCGAATTTTCGTTGGTCGTAGTTATCTCTGGTCGGTCGCGGTAACTTGAACTGGTAAACCTTTACGTACCGTCGCGTTTTGATCGGTCGCTGTTGGCGTTGATGTTCCCGTTACAGTCGTTACGATACTTTCGAGATCGCAATTTTCGGTAGGTCTAGGTACTAGGCATTTTTGATTGATAATAAATACATGATAGGTACATTAGATAATAACAAATAAACACTTTTACAAAAATAAGAAAAAACAAAGAAGAAATATGACCGAAAAATAGGAAATTTGGAAAGCTACTTTCAATTGATTAAAAATATAATCTCAATTAGAGTTATTATAGTCTGCAAAGAAAGAGAATTACATTTTACTAACATATGGGAATAAAGTAAGACTGATTTTATTTTGATTATCTGACATGAACATTTTACTATCTTTTCCACTAATAAGGAATATACGTAGATAAAAACATACACGTAGATAAAGATATTTAGCATATAGCGTAGGTAGGTATCTCGAATAATGATTCAAATTATATTACTTTTTTATTGTTTAAGCTAGTTTTAACTATTTCTAAAGAAGGGATTTTAACAGATTTTAAGAAAAAACATAGAAAAATATTATCATACAAATGTACGTATTTTAATTTAAATTCTAACGGTTATAACCTGTATCAGAAGAATATAAATCTAAATATTATTGGCAAAAATATAAAACTTATAAAAAGCTGTTCTTCAGTCTGAAGAAAAGATGTCCGAATAAAAAGTATTGAATACCAATAGCAGAAATAGGTACACTCAACAGTAGGGAGCACTTGGAATGTCCAACTAAGCATTCATCTAATGAATTATTCCACAGTAATTCAATTTACTACTGACTCTAATAAACGTTTACGTTTAAAGTTTATGTCACGAATCCCCCGGAAAAGACAAAAGTTGTGCGCATGACGTTCGATGGCAGTGAACGTAAAATCTCTTCGCTCAGCCAAAAATTTAGCCACTGAGGCTGACTGATATAAGGTACAGCATTTGGAATGTAACGCACCGTAACACGCACGCAATCACACGCACGCATTTAAAGATCGAGGTCTATGAAAGGACAGACTATTAAGCCCGGTGGAGTGCAGGCACAGCACAAACAATTTTAAAGGTGGTTGGTTCCAAGTCTGCGGCCAACTTTTCGGTTATTTTTAATAAAATAAAATTAATTTACGAACCTAGATTGACCCAGCCTTATATTAATACTTAAAACTCACAATCCTAAGTAATAAAAAACAGTTGCAGCGTAGTTCCAGCTAACCACACTCTTCTTAGTACACTACCAGCTATCGTATAGAAAGTTGTACCTTGCTATTCCCAAGGCGTTTAAGCACTGTAACTGGTGGTGCATCGTCGTTGGAAACATAGTAAACCCCGTACAAATATTGAAGTGGCTAAATATTTGATCCTCAGTTACTACAGGGGATTTTGAGCGAACTCGTAAACAGATATTTTATTTGCAAAATAAAACACTAATTATCTATACTAGTTTTAATTATCTGCTAATGATGCTAACATAGTGCAAAACTAAAGTTTTTTGATGTATTGTGGTGAATTAGTGTTTAATTTTCATGTTGTATCACCAAAGGTTCAAATCCTCAACTGTAATCTAAGATTTTTCATTCTACCTGGGTATGATAAAGACTTGATGCCCCTTAAATATGATGCCCTTGAGTATGATAAATACATATGCCAAATTCGAATAGATTTGGACAAGCCGATTTTATCTAATTTAAGAAATGCTGCACCAATTTTTAATTACTCGATTGTCACTTCCTGTTCCCATTTTTAAATGACACCCTCGGTATATTTCTACTTTATTCGATAGAAAATGACACTCAGAATGATATATAATATGTCAACTTTTGATATTTTCGCATATGGTTTATTTGAAATTGTAATATAGGGTTCATAACCACAACTTGACTCAAAATACTAAGTGTGTGGTACCAAATTATTTGCAAAAAATGCTTTTTCCAAATATGCTAATGAGTCACCCTTGTTCCGTTTGAAAAA